TTTTCTACCATCCCTCTTTTTACTTTGTTGGCAGTGAGATATTTCCCCTCCATTCCCTGAGAAAACCATGAGATACCCAAAATCCTCCTTCTAGATCAAAGATTCATTTTTCAAATCGGCGCTCTTAATCCCCACGATATCAACGAACGCTTTTTATTCCACTAATTTGTTCTTGTTTTCTCGTCACCATATTCCCACCTATAGCGTGGCTCCATTTTCTGAATATAAACACACACATAACCCACTATTCCTCCGTTTGCTCTGACGAAGGGCTAACGCCTGAAACGTCAGCTCTGAAACTCTTAACGGTGGCCAATTTACGTTATCAACTCAGTTGATAATACTAAATTACCTTGTTATACTCTCCCACCGACGTAGCACTATAGTTTATTAAGAAACTTACCCTCTTTATTCAGTTGCAAAAGTAGTTGAGACATGTCACACGACAAGCAACTGGTTCTCCATGAGAAATAGTTTATTTGTGGCAAGGATTCTTAAGCCGCTTGGTCATTTACACTCGATTTCTGGTTGGAAATACTAATTTTATCGGCGACATGTGCGGGAACAAAAATAATAACAGGCCCCGGAGCTGCATATCATATTTGATGCAATTCAATGACAACTGGGTGCTTTGTAAATGTGACAAATGTAAACAGATGTGGAAGGCAGAAAGCCTACCAAATTTGGTCTGGTTAAATTGCTTCTGTATCCAAGGCTCTCAACATAATGATTTGACATTTGACAATTTCGTTTTATTTGCCTTGGTGCTGAGTTGTTGTAAAATTTATAAACGATCCTTACTGTTGACTTTGTTTTCAATAATATTGGAGTTTTTTTTTTGGGGACTGAATGCGTGAGCTAATGTACGTAAATGTAAAACTGGAAACGCGGTCATTCACGCGTAAAAGTTTGCGTTTTTCTTCTTTTTTGTATGCGCTCCGAATCTGTTTGGCCAAAGAATGTACTCTGCATTTTACGTAAAATCTTTCAAGATGTGAAAACATTTAGAGACATCCTTAAAAATTCATTTTTCTTTTCACTTCAGACATGCCAAAAAAGGGAGAGAAAATAGAACCAAAATTTATAAAATGGAGAAAGGTTGTGTAGCTTTGTGATGAATGTTATACTCAGCCGGAATGGTTAATTCTCCGAAGCTACCAGCAAACCTAATTTTTTTCCCAGCGATTGATTAAAGTTGCAGATTAGCTCTCAAACAATGGTTTACTAGTTCATGTCAGTTTTATCAGGATATCCTGTCGAGTGCGATGGATATTCGAGCTTCATTATTGACAAAAAGCTCCTCAAATTATTTTGTCTAGATTAAATATTTATACAGTTGAAAAAGCCGTTCATGAGAAATTGAGAGATATTTCGAATCACTCTTCGGGAATCTGTGAGATAAGTTTAGGTAAATAAGTTGATTATAAGTTAAAAATTAAAATCAGGGTAAAAGATTTTTGCCAGCGCTTCTGTTTCTTCTTTAGTGGACATGTTGATGGTAAACCAACTCTCTTTCTGACCTCTCATTTTGCAAAATACACAAGTTAATTAAGCCAGCTGGATTTTTCTTTTTTGAGCCGATAAGTACCATTTTTAGCAATAGACTGACAAATGAGACTATCACTACATCAGCGCAAAGACTTTTCGGCCAATTTTATTTTTCTGGATCAAAAATCTTAAAGTCGGTATCTTTGACTAGATTGTTACTTCAGTCAACTATCGCCGCATTCACTTGCTGGCCAGCTGCCAGCGTGCGAGGGAGGAAACACCGCTTGTAAACATCGTATTTGGCGGGTTTTGCTCTGTCGAGTTCCGCACTTTCTTAGGTTTGGTGCACCTTTGGTTTTGGTTAGCTTTCGCGTTTTTTGTTGAGGTTTTATACAATACCTGTACTATGGAACTCCCTTTTCGCAACTCTGGCCTAACTGCCTTCCAATCCACCTCACTTTTGTTAATCGATATCATTGCCGTCGGAGGAAACGGTTTTATTTGCATGGCAACTGCACGAAATCCCAGCCTTCGCACGAGCACAAACTTGTGGGTGACCGCATTGGCTGTTGCGGACTTGATCCGTTCTTGTGTCGCTGCACCTCTGACAGTGGCAACTTTAATTTGTGGTCGATGGAATTATGGATCCGGTGGTTGTATCATTCAAGGATTTTTCACGTACTATCTAACCCTGGTCTCCCTCCTTACTATGGCGTTCATGGCCGTCAACAGGTACTGCAGAGTGGTTAAACCGTCTCTCTATTTGAAGATTTTCACTAGAAAGCGATGCGTCACAGCTCTGATATTCCTGTGGACACTAATGGCTTTGACAGTGTCATTTCCTGTGCTGGTTGGATGGGCAGAATTTGCTTTTCACGGTGGTTACGCAGCTTGCGTCTTGCATTTCCATAAACCAAGTCTCACTGTGATATTTTTAACTTTGGACGCCGGCCTTATTTTAATTCCATGCACTCTTACAATCGCCGGTTGCTACTTCAAAGTATCACGAGCAGTACGTGAACATAACGATCAGGTCGTATCATCTCTCCAGGGAACCTTAAAGTCGAACTCCCAACTTATAAACCGAGCGGGCGTCGAGGAAATTCGCGTCACGAAAACACTTTTCTTACTAGTTTCAACGTTTACTCTTTGCTGGATTCCAGCCTATGTAATCGGGTTTTTAAGCCGTGGCAATTTGGTTTACATCTCTCCTCAAGGTGCCCTTGCTGTTACATTTCTTGTGGGTCTGAACTCCGCTTGTAACCCCTTTATATACGGCTACATGAATCGTTCGTTTCGAGTCGAGCTTTGGAAGCTTATCCCTTGTAAAAAGAACGAAAACCAAGTTGTTCCGCACGTTCATTCGAAGGACACTTCACCGCAGTCTTACACAAAGAGCCTTCCTGTCGTTGTATCTACCTAGAGCTTAAAAATGATATTCCCAGAAACACATTCAAACGATGAAAACTAGAGATGAAATCTGCTGATCATGATATTGCTGTCATATGGCTCAACATTCAATGTAGTGTCGAGAAAACTAGTTAACGCAACCAAACAAGGCGTCTAACACGCGATTCTCAAGAGGAAATGCCACAACACAGAGAAACAAAACTTTACAGATGTTCGCAACTGTCAAATGTGTCCTTTGCTATCGTTACTGGTTGCATTTGCCGCACTCGTTGCCTTAGAGTAACCACTGTTAACAGTAAACGGTAACCACTGTTTTCTACTTATCTTTATCAATAAGTTTCAAATCAAACCTGTTTTTCTCGATTCAGAAAATTTCGACGCAGAACAAACCCCACGTCAATGAAATATTCAAATAATTCATCAAAACGTATTTTGTTTGACAAAAAGAGCCTTTGCGGCTATTGCCTTCTATACAAGCCGAAGCCACATATGCTATCGGAATGAGTGAGTGATAGTAACATTTGAATACCCAACTTCACCAAATTTCGACCTGATGTCACTTATTGTTTATTTCGGAGTATCTTCGTAGTTCGACATTCGCACTAGAGATTATTGGGCACAGCATACGCTGAAGAAAGAGGAATGTCTTTGAAACAAATTATTTTGTGCCTAAACTACCCAAACTGTCATTTTTTCAGTATCTGGAGGTCAAAAGCATGGGTATGGGAAGAGGGCTCGATAGACAATTGATGGAAAAACTGGCTTCGATTTTTTCGCTTAAAGGCGGGCATCACCCGCCTTCAAGCCATCCTGGCCAATGGGTTAACGTTAAGACTAACAACTGCATACGGCCTAGCCACTTGCCTCTTCAAGAGAGGGCTGCAAGTGGCTCTGTGTCAAAAGCTCAAGGGAGAGAAAGTTGGATTTTGACTTATCGGAATAGGGGGGGTCTACTTTTTGTCGGCAACTTAGGAGAGATCTTTTTAGCCTGATGTTATCTTGGACTGTCCCTTATGATTCACAGTCAGGCTCACGCCTTGTGGCAGCTCCACCGGTGAGGTAGACCACTGTGGCTGGGGTAGGGGGGGAAGGGAATGTGTAGTTTCCAAAGGTGGATGCATGGTAGGGACTATTAGTTTGCTGTAATCTTGAGTGTATTTTGGTGAATCAACTCTGATATATTTGTAAATCATTTTTTTCATCTACATTTCAGACAAAGTATGAGTAGTGCTTGAAGACAGCTTTTGATTTGTGAGGAATAATTAACATAAATATTGCCATTTCCCTCAACTAAATCATTGTGAGTTTTAATGAGTCAGAATGCAGCAATTAACACATTCCTTCAACAAAATTTCTCAGCATCGTTCCAACATAATCGGATGAACACAAGAAAGAATGAACAAAAAAATAGAGAAATACTGGAACCTACTTTGATGACGTTTTTCACCTTCGACTATTACTGTCCTCGTCGAGATGAAAATATTTGTATTTATTAGTCATCTATATTTTCTGCCGTCCTTGTTGCTAAGTGATTTTTGCCTCCTTTCTGTATTTCTATGATGCAGAAGATATATTTTTTCGTCTCTTTCGAGTTAGAAATGGTTTTTACCCAGTGAAAAATTTGACTCAAAATGTATAGCTAATGATGTTTTAAGGAGAGAAAAAAAAATAAGGCGATTGATTTTATTCTTAGCCTGGATGAATATTCACAATTTTAGGCACCAAATCTGATATTAGGGTTGACAGACTGTCTGTCAAAATCTGACCAAACGTCTCTCAAAGCGCTTCAAGATAACGTCAAATTTCACACCTGCTTCGATCGGTCTGTTGTTTAGTCGTCTCCAAGGTAAGAAAAATGACGTTTCTCCATAATTCTTTTCGGTATTTCAGCTTTTAAAGTGAGAGTTACTTTACCTATACAGCACTAATGTATGCGATACAATGTGATCTTTAGCTCATGCGAGCATAGCGATTTCATTTGCACCTCTGTATTTTATTTATGAGGATTTTAAATGATTTTGATCGGAAAACACAATGATTTAAGCAAATTCAGTTACATCTCGGTTTGCGAACTATTGTTAACCCTTAGAAAGCCTTACTAAAAGTTCTCTTGCGTGAATGAATGAAAAAAATTTTATCTCGCGTAGAAAGTCACTTATTTTCCCCGAAGAGTTCTGTGACACGTTCTTGATATATCCATTTTGTAATCAATACCACCGCCCCACCTGTTCATATAGTCTTGCTTCCTGTGAGCACATTTCACTTTTCACCATCACATTGTCTCATGTCACACATTTTTTAGCGTCTTCCTCGAGCTTTTAGAATTTGGGCTAAGCTCATTTGTTGGGTAAGTGTGTTATAAAACGGCTTAATTGATGCACGCGCTTTTCTTTCTGATTGATTTTGTTCACGCGATCTTAGAGCAGATTTAAAAAGTTTACGCTCACTGAAATGTGGGTTTTTGAGCAAGTATTCGGAGCAAGGTTTTTGTTTAACGTTTTTCCAGTTTGCAGCTTGGTGTTTGTTCTAAAGGTAAACGTTGACAATCGCAGACGCTTACTGAAACCAAAACCCTGTAGACTTCGTTATGGTATCAGGCAAATTCGCGTCTCAGTTAGAAGCGTGAAATTCAGCTTTTTGGATGTTATTTTTTTCATTTGTTAGGTGGAAAAAATAGCAAGAACAACATCTCATCCTTGAAATGGTCGTTAGCTAGTTTTTCGCCCGTTAATCCACAGGAATAGGAAATTAGAAAATTAACTTGACTTTTGAAGTTAATTTAGCAGCTTTAGTCTTTAAATTAAAAGCATATAACTCATAACTCCTTGGGATTCAGATATATCTTCCATATCACTCTATTCACGAACACCGGGTCAGTTTGGAATTTTACACGGACGTTAAAAGAAGTTAAACCCTCAAAGGGTTTCAAAAACAATGATTTGACCTTGCCAGTTAAAATAAGACATGAGATAATGGTTTTTGCTTTTTTTCTGTTTGCAAGTCAATTAAGTAAATGACACGATTTGCAAAATCTTCTGAGCACATTTTTAAATTGCAATTCTAAAAAGCCTATTAACAGACTGTATGAAACGAAACTGAGACAGACAAATCGTCTTAGGTCTAAACAGAAACTGTACTTGTAACTGTACATGTCAGTTGAAAAAAAAATAGAAAACTTTCGGTCATTTTAGGGCGACCTTTCTATCCTATCTAGCATTTGGTTTGCTTTTATATTGTTAAAAGTGGCAATATACTTTTTTTTTCCGTGGACACGCGATTAAGGTTCATATCTCTCCTTTTTTTTTCCGCCGGTACGAAAACAAGAGCAAAAGAGGATTACTATTGGCGCTGAAAAAGGGCTTCATTGGGAATTTAATTAAAAAAGGACACAATTTTTTTCGTATTATTTATTTTTTCTTTGCATCAGCGAACAAATGAATTAATTACATGTAGGTGGAAATCCAGGAAATATCACAATTTAGTAAACGAAGAATATGATTGGCTTATAATTCACCTGTGTCAACTGCGATTTCCGCCTGCTGGAGTTTTTTGCAAAATACATGATTGTTTTCAAAGATTGATAGCTATTTTTCATTTTATGCCCTGAAGCCATCAAAGAATGTTTTAATTTACAACGCAATGTGGATCAAAACTTTGATTATATATTATCTACAAGGAAAACCGCTTCGTTTGTTAAACTTAGCTTCGTTGTTCACAGATGTTATGTCTGTAGCTTTTAATCCCTCAAATTTATGTAAATACGAAATGGCTGCGCGTCGCTTAATCTGAACCTCAAAGAGCTTCAGCTAAAGGTAAACATCAACATTCATTATATTTAAAAATTTTCCAGGTATCAGTGAACTAGATCAGTTTGTTTGTTAACAGTTATAACCGCTCTTTGTGCCTTAAGTCAAAGGTACTGTGCCTTTCAGTTGCATGCGAACCAATCTTGAGGCTGAATGCCAAACTTCGAGAGAGTTTCGATTCATGTCGCATTAATCATTTTTGCAGGGGATGTTTAGTTGTGGATTATTATGCTTTGGGACATTTCCAACAGATTATAAGAGTGTCTAAGGTCGTTCTAAAGAGCCTTCGGGTCGATTGTAAGTGCTTCTCGGGCACTCTTAAATTTCAGATCAATAATCAGTGTACCACAAAAAGCGTGTATTGAATTTGTCTTACTACAGCTGAATATATATTGATCTTATTTCGCTCCTTTTCGTAAGACTGCTCTTATCGTGTTTTTTTGTTTTTTTTTTCGGTTTCATTGCAATTTCTTGCTTTGTTTCAATTGCAACTGTTTATCTTGTGTCTGCAATTTTTACTCGTGGATACCCCAAGATGCGTAGAACGAGTACCGTGCAGAAAATGGGATATGCAAATTTATTTACTCACTAAAACGAACACAAGTTGATATGTAATAGTGTAGTTTGATCGTTCGGGTGAGTGTAGTCCTGAGAAGGACTGTTGTCGGTAGTGGTGACTGACGTTTCGACAACCTGAGCGGAAGTCATCATCAGAGTCAAGTGAAAGGTTGTTGTCAGTCGAATGTACTTAGTCCGGTCAGGTTGTCGAAACGTCAGTCACCACTACCGACAACAGTCCTTCTCAGGACTACACTCACCCGGACGATCAAACTACACTATTACATGTTACCCCGGGTTCAAACCATTTACTGTACAAGTTGATATCTTTTATGCTCGGAGCAGGGTGTACTTTCTAATGGGGATGTGCCATTGATGGGGTCGTATTTTCACAACTGGATTGACTATTGTTGGGTTGCATTTCAATTGAGCTACTAGAATCGGGTGGCACCTAACGGGATTTTGGGGGTGAGGAAATTCTGGTTTGTAGTCTCAATGGGACCTATCGTAGGCTGCCTGATACCAAACTTGACCTCCTAGGTCTTACCCTAACGACACGTCTCTTTTCTAATGGTAAGAAAAGATAATGACCTCGTTGTGCAACTTAACGATACAGAACACAGACTAATACGAGTGTGCGTCTTAATTTAATTTTCCCTTTATCCTAGAGCTAAGGCTTCGGAGATCATTGGCTCTGTTTGAGACAGTATGAGCGACGGTATTGACTTGTTACTCCTGTGCTTATTCACAATCCTGATTCCAGTATGTCTCGTATTTAATGCTTTGGTTTTCGCTGTTATTTATCGGAGCAAATCATTGCGAATTCCCATGAACAACTTGATCTTCAACTTAGCGATAACAGATTTTGTGATTGGCTTATTCATCTTCCCTCGTCACGTGCTTTTCAGTGTCATTGCATTACGTCATCCAGTAGACACCACAGGTAACTACTTTTGCAAGTTCATAACAGGGAGTGGTACCCTGTGGACTAGTTCCACGGCGTCTGGGTTTTTACTCATTGCCATCGCCGTCGAACGCTATACGTCCATAATGGTTCGTAGCCGAAGGGCGCCGCTTACAACCTCGCGCATCAATGCCGTTGTGGCGTTTTGTTGGCTCTCAGCTTTCGCGGCGAACTTGCCAACGCTTATCGTTTTTGCCTACGACGAAACGATTGATTTCTGCGTGGAAAACTGGCCAAACTGGGTTTCGCCCAAGGCTTATGTGATGTGTATCTTCTTCCTGGGCATAAGCTCAGTTCTTGTGATGTTCCCTTTGTATTTTCGAATCATTTACACGCTATGGTGCAGACAACGCAGGGCAACGGAAATCTCACAGGCGGCCAGATTACGCGCACGCAAAAACATCACCAAATTGCTAGTTTTGGTGACTTTTATTCACACAATTTGTCGTTTGCCTAACTATATGACTTATCTATTAACCTACTATGCTCCCTCAGTCAACTATGGTTCCAACACATACAACTTTACAGTTCTGTTGATTCTGCTGAACTCCGCTGTGCACCCGTTCTTATTGTGTTGGAACATGCAGGGCTTTAGAAGACCCCTGTTTGTGTTGTTTTGTTGTTGCCAAGCCAATAGGATATTTACTGAGCCTGAGCTTGAGCCCTCCCACGTGAGTACTCCGCCCGTCAGAGGATTTGCCTTCCTTCTAAGAACCCCAGAACAAGCGCGCCCACGAACCACATGAATGTGTGGACAATAGAACGTCGGATCAAGGCAGCACTATTATACGGTTTACTGGGCAATCAGTTATGAACGACAACCTTTTTAAATAACGTACAGTTATTATCACCGTCATTATTATAAAAATTATCATCAAAATTATCTTATATCATTATCACTATTAAATCTATTGTTATTGATATTACTCAGTGAAGTATCAGCGCGTACCTAAAAAAGGTAAATCATTTAACAACCGTAAAGAACTTCTTTCCAAGCGTGTTTACGCTCCGTTTAAAGTTGTGGCATACCCCTTCCATCGTCATTGCTTTGGTTCGATTTCCGAACTAATAAATGTAAAATAAGAATTCATTTTGTCTTAGGTGTCGTCTTTCCTGCCAGGAATTTTGTTTCCGGTTTGGTCGGTTTCTCTTTCTTCACCAGCCAAATTTTTATTCGACCTGGATCAGGGAACGAAGTACCATTCTGTGGATGTATCAGGACTAAAATAAAATGTAATTCCGTGCAATTCATTTAGTTCAGTGGAGGATATACTAAACAATTCACTGAATAAGTGTTGTCGCTTACTCGTCCCACGATGCGCCATTGTTCATTCAAATAATCATAATATTCGATTGAAGTTACTCCACGCCCACCAAAACAATAAATCTTATTTTCATAGACCACGTGACCGAACTCACTTCTGTTGTCGTTTAACTGCGCAGGAGCAAATACCCATTTGTCTTCCTTAGGGTGATAAACCTCCATGCTCCCTAAACTTTGTCGATCACTGCGTCCACCGAAGACAAAGATACTACCTGCCCAGGTTACCACGCCCATACTGAAACGAGGTTCTAGAAGGCCTGGCAGCAATTTCCATTTTTGAGATCGTATGTGAAAGCTTTCCATCGAGTTCAGCGGTCCATCGTCATTAAGTCCCCCAATGACGTAAATCTTTCGACCCAAAATAGCCACACCTATGAGAAAAAATTTAAAACTTCAAAGGCCTACCATATCTTTTTAAATGAGGGGCTCCACTATGGTGAAGGAAAATCGGTTAAGCGTGTAGGTACACTTATACCTAAGAAAAAACCTCTAGACTGGGAAATTTTTCTCGCTCTTTGCTTAAACCAATAAGAATTGTCAAAAATAACTTATTTGATCGGCATTTGTCGTTTTAGAAAAGAAAGGACGAGTGAACAGCGTTTGAGAAAGAGGGATCCAGAGTAAAATACGAAGTGACAATTAGTACTTAATGGGCGCCTAGTTTTAAACCGGAAAAACAACAACAACACTAACAACTCAAAAAGGAATCTCCAGAATGTAATGCAAGACAAGAAGACGACAGAAAGAAAAAATACAACGAAAAACAAAGAAACCAGGAAGAGAAGATTACCAGTGCATCTCCTACGTCGATTCATTTCAGGTAGTGAGCTCCATACTCCATGACAAACGTCAAATTTGTGGGCAGACATGTCGTCTGGCTTCCCACCAAACACGTAGATGTTGTTTCTATCAGAACACACTCCTGACTCCCGTACGGCACGCCCTTAAATGGCAAACATACTGTCACGTGATAGTTCACATCCATTTTTAAAATAGAAATCTTAGGCTGACATAATTAGTCCTGGGGAGGGGGGAGGGCGGGAAAGCTTAAAGGGTCGATTCATAATTTATTTCATAGACTTTTCTCAGAAAACTAATTTTATCATTGCCAAAATTTTCCTTTTAATATCACTTTGATCCTTCCCCCAACCAAAATGTCCCAAAGTGCTAAAGTCCGTCTCTCGACATCTTTAGCTTAAAAACATGATCCAACAGACACGGCTAATCGTTGAACGTTCGCGGAACTGATAGAAAAAACCAAGAGAAGAGAAAAACTTACCATCGCCAACCCAAGTCCATTTCTTTGTCACAGGGTTGAATCTGTTCACTGTCCTCCTGGACACGATATAAAGCTCACCCTGCACAAGAAATGCACAGTGGTAATTATCTTCTTTACTTGCATCGCTAAATGACGTCAGCTTGAGGCAGGGAACGCATGCACGTTGCTCCTCATCAAAGGTGTCAACTCGGTTTGTCTTCATACTGAACAGGTAAACGATCTTCCGAGAGTTTCGAGGTTTTCCTGAATCGTTATTTTCTTGTGACAACTTCCTAGCAGCCAGAGCATCTTCCACGTCCTTGCGGCATTTCCCTTCGCCTTTCACGAGTTCGGGAAGTATCCGTGTTTGAAGGAATTTTGTGGTGATTTGACGGAAGCGGATGGTTTTCAAAACTGTGTCCAGCTCTTTGTTCCTAAAGGATGATATGGAGACAGGCCTGACCAGTTTAATTTTAGCTCTAGGTATTGTCACCAATTGAGATCGATTTGATTATTTCGCTGCCCTTTGTCTAAAAAAAAATCCATTTACGAAAAAAAGAGGCTAGAGTCCAAACTCCCTAAAAAATATGTTTTAAACTTGTTCAGTGAACCACAACATTTGGCTGAAATAAAAACACCGAAACTTCTCAAAATTTCAAACAAAGGAGTAACAAATTTACGCGAACGAAAGCTCAAAAATACTTAACTAAAACTCCCTGAAAACAAACTAAAAATACGCGAAAAAATGTCCGCGTCAGTTTTCCAATGTCAAGGTTAGAATTCTTTGACGTGATTGGCTAATTTGCGAAATCATGCGCGCCGGGCGTGAATACAAAAAGAATACGAAGGGGGGAGAGGAAGAGAAAAATTATTCCTTGAAATTTAAAAACGAAAGAGATTTTCTACATCTGTTGTTAATCGGTCACTATGACAACGGCAAGATGTCATTTCTCTTAATCCGAAAGTGCGAGATGAGGTCACTAAAACAAAACATTTTTAGTGATTGCAAACAAGTATCCACTTGAATGTGTTTTAATTTGGTACTGTTCATCATGCCGTGCATGGTGGTTCTAACTATTAAATCTGTGAATGTAACCCCCCCGTTTGTGATCATTATAATTAAAGCCACTGAACAGTATTTTCATGTGTTACCGTACATGCGTGTAACTGCCAATGCGAAGTGGCCGAAGTAACAACACTACGAGGATATCCAGAAATCTGGAGATTTATTTAAACAAACGAAGACGTGGATAGTCTAAAGGTGGTCGTCGATGAAAATTGTTACGGCCACGAAAGACGAAACATTTTAAGAGAGAAGCTCCGTAAAACGTTTTAACTAGCTGCCAAACCTGTGAGTGTACACTAACAAAACTGCGTTGTGCGTAGAGAACAAAATTGTTAAAAAAATTGTCGCCTGAATGTCATGTTTTGTAAGAAAGTAGCAGCGAAATAACTTGAAACTGCACAAGGGCGCTGAAAAAGGCGTGAGAAAAATTAAGGGAACTAAAGAAACCGAAAAAGGCGCTAATGAAGAACAAATTACAAACAAACGCTAACGAGGTAGTGAAAAATAATACTTAAAATCAAACACTAACAAAAAGAAACCAAATGAATTTTGCCACTAAAATAACTTAATGAAAGATAACCAAAAATCTACATCTTACACTATGTACCGCTTGACTGATTGGGAAGGCAGCGCTGGAAATATTAAAGCCATTTTCTGGCTTCTGCTTCTAACTGCATAGATCATTCATTAAAATTAATTATCAGCTCCTCTTCTAACCTTTTTTCAGGATCGTGTTTGTACCATTTCCACACCGCTTCATACACTTTTTCCTCTTTTCTGACCTTTAGACTGTTACTTCCGAGTAAGGAAGTTATCTGATGCGCTGACAGCTTGACAAAATCATCTTCGTTCACGATTTGTAAGAAGTTCCATTCCATGTATTCCATTGTTTTGAGTTTTAATTGCTCGAGGCCAAGAGTCTCCGCTAGTTTGTGATACCCCACACAATTTTGGTTTCTCAAATGATCGATAGCAAATCGTTCGCAAGCAATGACAGCCTCTTCGATCTGAAGGAGTCCATGAATAGGTAAAGGAATATGTGAGTGAACAAATAACTACATGAATTTAAAAAGGGAACAAGTTTCGATTCCAAACGCAACAATTTCCTGAACACTGTGTGATACATAATTTTACGCTTTTGTTACGAAACAGTTACAGATTGTTATCATAACTGATCATAACAGTGTTATTCGAAGGTCAAAAAATCTGCCAGTATTTGTTTGTTTGTTATTTTTGTTTCTACCTGGTTAAGAATATAATCACCGTAAGTGGCTTGTTACCAAACGCATGTGGACTGAAAACATATAACAGTAAGATAAAACAAATATCGTTCAAATAACCTTTAAGTAGTGCAACAGCTGTAATAATTCCTTAATATGATCCAGTTGCAAAACCAGTTTTCCTTCATACAAAAAATCCAAAGCATTTAGCATTAGCAAGTTGTCAAAATTCCATGGTATTTCTAGTTCCACGAATGACTCTTCGCATTCACTTTCGTCATGTTCAGCCGCTAGCTTTTCACGGAAGAAAGGACAAGTTGCCGCCAAAACTACACGGTGCGCAGGAAAACGCCGTCCGTCGCAGCAAATATACACGTCGCATAATTCTTCCTTCGCACGCATCTCTTGAAAAATACGGAAGGCTTTGTGGCTGTGAGTTTCCCACTGGAAAATAATTTCATTCGCCACAACTGCTTGTGAGGGAGGAGAATTAATTTGTCTTAAGGACATCTCGTTGTTCAGTGTGAGCGAATGTTCAAAACGACTCTTCGACACAGCGATCTGTTTGTTTTTAACTTCACAACTACGCTGGACTTGTAATATACTGGATTCATCTACATAATTAGTTTATTAAATATTTAAAGGATGATCACTATCAATTTTCTTACTACAACATTAAATACAAAAACCGCTCAGATAACCAGCTCCTGGTGGGAGAGATGTAAAGAACGTCCATTTATGTGTTGATGTAAGTGATGTTTTATTTATTTATCTTTTTTAATTCCGATAAAAAAATAAAATAAAATTGATCAAGACCTAGCCTGACCATTACACGATGCAACTAGAAAGTCTTTAACAAGAAAAATCTCTCAAAGGAAAACTTTTAAGAATTATTTTTAGTTTGGACTTGTAACAATCGTATCTGGTATCAAAACTGGTATCTGTCAGTCACACATAAATTGAACTCATTACACTACTTGTTTGTGCAGGTAACATTTGAAACTTGGCAGAACTTTCAATTCAAGGCGCAGGTTTAATTTTAATCAATCGTTCTGTTAAAAAGAGAAATTTATCCCCCTGCTGAGAAATTTAAATGTTTCAGCTCGTAGATACGGCTCGTCTGACGCGCATGCAAATTTTAATCTGCAAAAAGGGTTTGCAACGGATTCATTGCATTTGTGTTAGTTAGACGAGGTAGTTCTCTTCTGTGAAAGATGGATTTTCAGTTAATAATCATTTGCGTGTCACAGTGAAACTGTTTGCTAAACAGGAATACACGGCATGGTGATCGGCAAGGAGAATTTCAACTTTTATCTATTGATCCTAATCAACGCCTTCGAACATAATTTAACGCCCCACGCAGGTGCACTTGGACAATGCATCTAAAAAAAACACTGCAAATGTTTATTAATTATCGCCTTTGTTGATGTACTGCGAAGTGCTATTAACTGAGAGTAAAAAAACGTGTTAACTGTAGAAGTGCTGACACTTTTATATTATCCATTATGATACTCGGCCACTTCTCACTGTGCGAAGAAAAGAAAAAAATTTTCAGTGGTAATAATTGGCTTAAGAGAAAAACGATTTAGGACTCAATAGAAGCGAGTTAACGGCTGAGTGCAAAGCTGATTTTAAAATATTAACAATATAGGGCACAGATAGGAATTATCCATTGAAGTTCAAAGAAATGACAGATGAATAGCCTACTAACTCACGGCCATTACATTAACAGTTATCTAATTGCAAAACATCGTGGACATCTGCATTCTATAATGTATCGAGAAAAGATGGTGACGCCTTCATAAAAGGTTTATGTGCTTCACATAAATGCAGTTTTTTCAGTGAAGTGCTTGGAATCAGTATGCAAACGTAAGTGATAACAGCTCTGTGCTAATACTGATCAATCATGGAACGAGGCTATCGCAGACCGTAGACGTTGTTAAAACTTGCCTTTAGGCCTGTCGACTTTTAGAGCGGGGGGTAGTTGGTGTATGACTCATTGGGAGCCAAAATGCGAGTCCTTATCTTTCTCTAACCCTGTCATTAAGCCTTAATGAACACGGCATACAATGTCGTCATTGGTACTCTATGTGATTCAGATCACATTTCAACCTGTAGGTAAAATTACAAGTTACGAATTGATATTAGCTGAAATTTCCTCTATCGCCAACCTTCCCCCCCCCTCTCTTTTGACCTTGTAGCTCGATGGGTAGCGGCGTTCAACTTGTAGCTTGGGGCACAATTTAGTCCTCATCAGAGCCTGAATTATTGAACAGGTGTAATGGATCCAGATGGGAACATTATCAGACAGGATGCTTTGCTTTTTATTTCTCTTTTATTAGTTTGCGTTAAAATCATCCCTCCGGTCGTGTTCAAAGATCAATCCACAGCCTTTTCACGAAAAAAATATTTTCATAGAGTGAAATTTGGAAAATCATAACCTCTAGAACGACTATCGGCCTCTCAGCCTATAGCAATCTAGAAAGATGTCACAACTTCTTTTTTCATGATTACCCGCGGTGTTATTTGCATACTGATTGTGAGTCCTAAGGGATGTTTGCGAAAATTTTTTGCATTGCAAATATATTTTCACCAATTAGTATTCATGTCAGTTGCGTTAGAAGCTTCACAGGCGGAGTTCAGAGCTAATCCAGGCTATTTGGTATGAAGCTTTTTGTTTTTGGCCGTGCGAATTGCTGCTCAGCATGTTCCAGCGAGTTCTAATGTCTGAGCATCGAAGCTGAAATGATAAGTAGCCTCGCAGATCAGTTTTTGGTGCGTAAGGATCTTCCCACGTGGCCCTCACCGTCGACAACAACGAGCTTCTTTGTCAATTTGTGAGATGACCGAAGTCGGAGTTCATGTAAGTTATCTCGTTTTTTTCTCGTCATGCTGCAATCCACTTTAGCTTACGGATATTTTTTAAGCCTTGGGAGAACTGAGTCAGCAAATCTTGTGTTTCAAGCGGCTAGTCCCACACCGTTCCCTTAAACACCACGTGACCCCCCAAATCCCCCTACCCCTACCCCTCTTCATACCCCACCCCCTACCCCTTACCTCCCTCGTAAGGAGATGACGATGACTGGTCCCTAAAGAAGATTTTGAATGTTTTATTCCCACCATCCTGAACTCTGAATTTATTTTTGTTGCCATTTTTGTCCATCTTTCACTAGGTGATAATGAAACAGAAAGCTAGGGATAGTAATGGATCGATCGCTATCAAGAACAACATTCTATAAACAGTTGCCATTACCACAGGTCAGTTGATAACCTTCTTTTCTAGTCTAATTTTTCTTTAACCTAAGATCTCCCCAATAACTCTCCTTACTGTCTGATATACAAATCTTACGATGTTAATTTGGAGTTGGATCAACTAATAATTCCCTTCTGATATTTTTCTTTATTCTCATCACTTGTCTGCTTGATATTGCATTGATATTGGAAGGAGAAATTCTAAGTTTATCCGTTTGACTCTAACGCAAGAGTGGCTCTAATTTTTCCTTGCACGAGATCTCCACACTTAAGTTTTAAATCAATTTCTGAGTTGAAAGATTGTTTCAGTAGAATGGTTTTCATGTATACATTTATACTCTGTGAAAGATAATTTGGTTTTGCTAACTAGTAATATACATGAAAAAATTCCGCACGTCTGATGGGCTGAAAACGAGTGCATTTTTCATGTAACTCGAGTGCAAAATTGTAACACGAGTGCAAAGTTTTAACACGAGTGTAAATTACGAATTTCGGCCGTCTTGACTTTCTGTGATGCTAAAATATATAAGGAAATACAAAAGTGTATACCATTGTGCTATACCGTTACATGCTAAGACAACCTGTGAGGTATAATCTTTTACAAACCACTTTGATATTATGCCAGTGTACAAAGAATGAATAAAAAAGGAAGTTTCGGTTTTATTTTAACATAACAAGGAAACGTGAGCTCAAAAAAAAAAAACGCATCCCTTTCAAGCAACGGAGGAAAAAATCAGAACGATTCAATATCTGAATTTAAAACTATTTAATCTAAATTTTACAAAAACGATATAAGGAGGTGTAATGAGTATGCCATGAGAAGCAGATTCTGGCCGAGAATTAAGCGGTTTAAATCGTGACTTTTGACCCTTTGACACCTAAGAGAGACTAACATCAATTTCTCCTTACAATATCAGCCCTGAATCAAACAAAAAGGTCAGGAGAGTAAAGGAAATAATCACCAACTAAAGAAGCTTTTGATTGCTAAACAAATTCTCCCTGTCAGCATCTAAGGAAATGTATAGAGAACAGTATGGAGAATATGAACACTGATCGTAGGGTGTTAAGAGTTAACCCAGCCTGATGCATCGAAAAGGGTACTAGACATATAGTGATGTCTTAGACCTAAATAATGAAAACAAAATTGCAGAAAAATTCATGATATACCGATTTATGCATTCAAAAAAAAAAAAAAGATGGGAAATAAATTAAAAGGTGGATTGATCAAAAATAAAGGGGTAAGTTTCTAAAGAGACTGTGGTGCTGCGTCGGTGGGAGAGTATAGCAGGTAATTTAGTGTTAACAGCTGAGTTAACGTAAATAAGCCACCGTAAAGGGTAAAAAAGCTGACGTTTCGAGCGTTAGCCCTTCGTCGGAGCGATTGGAGGATTTGTGGGTTGTGTTGATCAGAAATAAATGTATTTATCGCAAATTGGGATAATATCTGGCGTTGCAATAAATTTGTCTTTACATGTCCAATGTTTAATCTAAGGACTATGGTAGAGGATGTATGAAAAAAAATTATCTTGAGTATTTTCATCTCTTTATGATTATTTTGCCTTAATATCAAACCAATCTTGGAAAGCGTAACATTTTCTTCTTTTCGACTGGAAACTTTGAAGTTAATTCAGAGGAAGGTTTCAACGAATCCCATGTACAGTTCAAGTAGCATTACCTTCACCATCACCTCAATTCAAAATATCCTCAAAAACTTTACGATGAATTTTCTTTCCTATAGGTTTGAAAGACGATGGCACAAGACAAGAGGAATTTATGGGCTTGAATAAAGTTTTTCTCCCTTTGACACACGCGTAGTTAAAGGAATGTATGCACACCGAAGCGCTTTTCAAAGGGCCAACGTTATTCCGTATTTTTACGCGAAAATATCATTGGCAACAGAATGACCTAAAATCTATTTTTCCGAAAAAAAACTGAGTCTTTTGGCGGGAAATTATAACCAGGACTATTAATAACCTTAAATACATTTGTGAAAATCAACACTTACCAGGAAAAGTTTTTATCAAAAAACTGATTTTTTTTTTTATGTAAGTCTTTTGGCGGGAAATTTTACGGTGGAAAAAAAGGTTTGCACTTTTGAATTGTGTCTTGCGTTAATCAAAAAATATTCTAAGTCTTTTGGCGGGAAAAATCTTGCTTCGTCTACGAGATTTTTTTCTCATCGAAAGCCATGGATATATTTTGTTTTAATACTAGACTCTGTTCAAATGCGCAAAATTTTTTTCCCTTTCGGCAACCCTCCATACGCAAAAAAAGGAAAAGAGATAGCCTATATTTTGACTTGTTACCAGGCCCTTTAAATAGCGCGGATTTTTTAAATTTACTTGTACTGTTAATAAGAGGCAGGAGAGAATAGACATGCAATACAAGTTTTTCTAAGTCTATTTTTTTATTAAGGTTTGAAAAGGTTTACGACAATTGATGAATATGAATAAGCACTCTACAAACATTGTTAATAATCAAGTCTAAAGACAAGATAATCTTTTGAATAAAACAGCTCTAAGGAAATTTGTGGATTTACATTTGTTCTACCGCAAAGTGCTATTGCCTTGTTTTTGATAAATTTGAAGCGAAAACATTTCAACAAATAACTAAGACAGAGACAGATTCACGAAATAAACTGGGAAATATTTGACAAGTCAGAAAATTGCGCTAACAACTAGTAATTGGTAGAATTAAGTGCTGACTAAATATAAAACTTCTGAGCGAAACGACAAGCTCTCAGTTCTAATGACTATGTTTAGAAAAAAACCGAAATAAACTCGCCGTATTTATGATTGTTACGGAGAGAATCACTGCTGTCTCGTACCAGTGGCGTTCACTTCAGTACCAACTGTGTCCTACAATCTAAGTCGATCAATTTTAAACTATTTTGAACTGCGGATGGGAAAAATTCACCTTGCTTAGATTCTTAAATTTGGATAATTCGAACTTTTCCTCTTGCCTTGCCTAAATATTTTCTCGATATCAAACCTAGGATTGAAAGTGTCCATTTTTGATAATGAATTAAGTCTGAATTTGTTAATTCTTGCAGTTATTGGTAACATTTAATACCTTTTAAGTGATAAGTTTCTAACTGTATTTCTTGACCAACTAAGTTTTCACTAGTCTTTGATTTCAGCCTCTCTTTGCCTTTCTCGTGCTTTGGATCTTCCAACAGCAAGATGGTGTCAAAGGAACTGCAAGACAATACGACAGATGCGTCAGAATAAAGGATGACGCTAACCTTGCTTATAAAATACAAATGGAAACACTCATAAATCCATGACTAGACGTAATACGATTGCAAAGAGAATGAATGATGCTTGGTAAAACTTTGTCAATATGTTAAAAAAACGTTGGGGCGATGCGTTTTATAATTGCACAGAAAAATTACTTATTCATTTCATTACTTTGGTAAAGTTTACAGAGAACACTTTGAAATAAATTTGGAACTGAAAAAGCCCTGCTATTATGGACCATTTCTTGCCAATTCATAATTATTTCGAGCAAGGGCTGCAATTTGTTTTTTAGCAAAAAAACAGCTAAAAACTTGAAAGGCGGTTAATAACGTCACCCATATATAACGCAAGTAGGCCGCAGCACCTAACTATTTTGCCAATGTCGAAAGCGTGCGCGTTTAATGCAAATAGGCGGGGTTTGAAAACAAATACAAATGGGTTAGAGGCATCTCTTTGGATACTAGGTTTTCAAATGGTTTCCGAATTTTTCCTAATAATATTCTACGTTTTCCAAAACACGGCGAAGATGTAATCCCATTTTTTGGCCTTTATCGGTGAGAAAACTTGACGTTTTTAAAAATTAAAACTTTTTCTCAAAGCCCGGCGGAGAGTTCCTAAACATTCCGATCATTCTTTGTTGGTGACGTAACTAGCGAAAAATCATTTGCACGATGTTTAATTCCAAAGAGAATTATTACCCCATTATTAGTTTGAAAAGTGCCAAAACATATGTTTATTTAAAGCCCATTGCCATAGACAGAATTGGCCGAGACATTTTTTCAGATCATATGCCGTATTCTTTTTTTTTTGTTAACGGCAGGTATTAGCTTACACAATGTTAATTTTTAAAATAAATTTCATAAATCTTGTTAATGATCGGGTATATGTTCATATCCAAATTTCTTTTTATCAAGTGGCTTGAACAAGAGCCTCGATAACACAAATACTCTTTGTAAAAGCGATGAGGCTTGAGCTTGAAGATTTGAAATTGATCTTGCCTCACATTTCTCAGAAATTTCGAATTGTTCGTTAAAAATTTTGCTGGTCTTTTCTTTTCAAGTGAAATTGTGTTTGAGACTTAAAAATAATCTCCTAAAGCCAAAACGTTTCAAGGTTATATATTTTAGCCGAAGTTATCAACAAGGACCATGTATTTATATCAATTAGATCCCATGTGAAAAGCAGCACATATGCACATTTGATACCTATTTCGCAAATTAGAAACTGTGGCTTACCTGTAATTCTATGTTTTCTCTTTCGAAAATTTCCTTTCGGTCCAGTCAGATATCTTAAACGTATATAAATAAAGCAGAAGGTAAATTTATTTTAGTAAAGGTAAATTTAGTATATTTTTCCTTAGTGTGGTATTTAAACACTAAGAGAACAAACTCTGACTGGATATATTCACTACTGGGCTTGGATGGACTGACTCAACATATTTTTAAGTTCTCCCTCGAAATAGTTCAATATTTTTTTCATCGTTTTTTTGAACGTAGATATGAATTGAGCATTAGTTAGCGAGAACCACGTCGAAAAACTACACATTTAAATTGGAAATCTATAAAGTTCATTCAACGCGGTGTATACAACAACTTATGAATTGAACTAACTCGCCCTTACCATGTGTTCGGTTGTGGAAGACCTTGCTGTAAACAGGCACATCACGTCAAATAGGTCTTCAAGAGCAAGCAATTTCCCGATGCTTCTGGCCACGTTTGAAAGTTAGACATGACTATGAAGACGGGTTTCTCCGATTTGTTTCCGTGAAGTGAAACAGTTCAGACCACGAGGAACACTGAAATGTAAATGAGTTGAAAGATTTGCACATGCGAATTCGGCTTCACTATAAAGACCTGCGAGCGAGGCTGGTGTTCATTTGCAAAGCTAGGCTTCTTTCAGGCTTTAAATTTCTAATAACTCTTTGTTGTATTTTTATTAGAAAGAGTGGAAGAAAAGAAACGCATTCAAAAAACCATATTTTTCGTTGAAACAGAGAAAACCTTTGCAGGAAAAGGTGTTTTATATCGCTGAACTGTTTTATTTGCAGGCTAGGAGTTGGGCAAATTGTTTGTTTCTCTGAAAGCTGAGTCAAGTACATGAAATAGATGCTTACAGATACACCTTTGAAAAAGTTCACCTTCATAGAGAAAAAGATCTCTCCTCGTTTATTTAGTAAACCCAGTTTCCCTGACTAGTATCAAGAAACAAAATTTGTTCAGCACGTTGCTATGGAAACTAATAATTGGTAGCTCGATTCCAGAGTCTCTTGCTAATGATGATCCCAAATCTTCCCTTTAAATCTCGCATATTGTGTACCTCTGCAGTCATAAACAGATTGTTGTGGCGACAGTTATCTTTAGTTTAATCTTTCAGTAAAATTTCGTGCAAAGCATCGCTCGCTTAATCGACTTATGGCTTAACCTGTGATCCCAAGAGAGGGATTCATCAGCTATTGGAGCATTATCCTGCTTTATAATTAAAATGGTCTTATTAGCCAGAAAGAATGTTTTCCACGCAATGTGAAGTAAGTCAGATTAAACGAATACGTAGCACTTTTAAAGCCAGAGTCTTCTGAAAAGAAGACGGCTCTGATTTCGCGTTTTTCTCTTCCGCACAAAGTTAATGAATGAAGTTGGTACGAATGCAATTTAGCGTGGAATGATTAAATGTGATTGCCTGTTCGGGAAACTCTTTGTACTGACTCTACGAAATCAATGCAAAACAAATGTCTTTGAAAGACATTTTAAATACGCTTCAAACTTCATTAGCTAGGTATTATTGTAATGCTTCACGAAGTATAAAGTTACATATCTTACATGAAATATTGAGCCTTCTAGCTGATGAACTGTTGCGCTCATTTACTATATTGCACGGTTAGTTTTCGTGAATCTAGGTCTTACACACGTGGTTGTTTTTGCTCAGAAGAGAAAATGACGTTTGTGGGCAATTGTCATTTCAAAAGAGAAACAATAGCACCCGTTTTACGTAGAGCAATTACCGCGGGTTTTAATTACGTCAGTAACCGTTTAATTTTATGGCAATTGTGTATAGACACTGAGACCACACCATAGTTCAACCGTTGGAGACTGAAAAACAGACGACGCCTAGTTGATGGGTGAATAAGTATGTTAAAACCACAGCAATTCGTGAAATTCCTGTTCTTGGTATCTGTCTCCTTTGCTTCTGCTGGTTATCATCCATCTTTACATTGGGACCCGCGGAATCCACTGTGAGTATTGATTACAAAAAAGATCTATTGTTATCTCCACGCTTACATGTTACTGAGGAAGCCAACTCTTATTACGTAACTGAAAGTTCGTTTGAAGAATCTTTCAGAAATATTAAATTTCTTCTTTATGGTATATCGAGGCAAGCTGTTGAAAGCCATTAGTTATGGTAACTAAACATACTGGAAGGAAAGTGCCAGTTTTTTTTTCACTTAATTAACTGTAATGCATTGTTCCAACTTCTCTCTTCCCACCATAAATTGTGCTTTTGTTCACTGTTAATGGTTTAGCGCTATAATTTGTTTTAAATTGACTTGTGTGATAAAAAAATATGATTGCCGTGAGAGCTTTCCTGAATATCCACTACCTGTTGTGGTTGCATGCATGCCAACAGCTTTTTTACATTATGCACTTACGCTGGTTCGATTACTTTTCTAGCTAATAGTTGCATTACGATTGTTGCTTATTTATTGACACTTATTTTGCAAGGTACACGTATGCTTGTAAATCGATCTTACTTATCAACCTGTCTTTTGACTGATTATTTGCCTTCTTTTTATATATTTGTATACGTACTTAATTACTTTACAGATTTAAACAAAACGTGGAGATTAACGTTCTTCAAAATTCTAAACTCAACGTGTTGTGTCCAAACCCGGGAAGCGTCCTGCAGGATCAAGAATCCGGTATCCCACAAGAACTCATGTACGAAAATATGTGGATTGTCACTAAAGAAGACTATGATATGTGCAAAGTAAACATATCAGCTGGCAGAAGGATCTTAAGTTGTGATAGTCCTTTGAAGTTGAAATATTACCAAATGGTCTTTAGAGCATACAGTCCTCCACGCCTAGATGAGTCAGTGGATATCCGTTTAGAGTTTGCACCAGGAACAAAATATTACTTTATAGGTAAGGCCTTGAGTAGATTATCCATGGACTTTGTCTAGCCTACTTATCGTCCCTCTTACAACAATACCATCCGCAACGAAGCCTACGCTCATCCCCTAAACTACTTTATACTGTCCCTATTATGGTCTACCGGATTCTTTTAAAAATACAACATCTCTTTTATCTTTTAAATCTGCCGTCAAAACATTCTTGTTTCGGAAATTTTATTTTTGATTTATTTTGCGAGGAACTGTACCTAGCTTTCATGTCACCTGGTTCTTAATTAGTTATTTCATTTATTTTATTTATTACTGCTATAAGAAACATTTTGTAAGTTTTTGACGAATTTGTTTTTCCTATACAGTAATGTAAACACATTGAGTTTTCTAAATGCGCCCAAAAATCATACTGTATTGAAAGTCATACTGTATTGAAATTATCTAATATTCATCTAATACTGATCTAATATTTATCCTTTTAATTCCTCAGCAACTTCAAACGGAATGAAAAATTCACTGTCAAATTACGATGGAGGACATTGTTTGACGTCTAATATGAAGATGGTGATTCATGTCTGTAATGGAAGCTCTGGTGAGAGACGTATTGAGTTGTTATACTCGTTTTTCTCCTTAGGAGGGGTAGGTTATGGTGCCTTCCTTCCCCTCCTTCGTTATGATAGTCGTAATTGTAAAAACACTTGTTTTTGTTTTGTTTCCCATAGATCCTAAGTGCATCGACGCTCCTAAAATTTCTCCTTCTAGTTCAGTCTCTTCGTGTGCTCCTGTCACAGAGAGAGTGCATCATTCTTCAACACCAAGTCTGAGCAGTAGAGGATCTTCTTCTGTTCTGGTTCATCAGTCTAGTCCAACTCAATATTTCTCAACAACGACTTTCGCTGGTCTGACAAATACTACGCTTGCTCTAAAATCGTCAGCCACTGTCCAGTGTCAGGGTAAGACTTTATGAGTCTGTTGTATGATCGCATTCATTTACCGCACGAATCGCTCCACGTTTCGCGAACTTTTGCGGCTGACAAAACTAAAGCAAAACGCAAAAAGGCCTGAAAAGTGAATAAATAGCGACATTTTTCGCTCTGGTGAAGACGAAAATAAACGATATGCTTAGAAGTTTCGTTGCAGGCCTTCTTGTGACTAGGGTTCAAAACATTGCACGTTAGCCACTCAACTACCCTTTCTCTTCTCTATAAAATAAATTTGAAAAAGGCGGATACTTTACCAATCATTCTTTTTCTTTTATTCAACAGAATTTAAAGCTTCCAGCTCAGAAGGATTCCTCTCTTTATTCGCAAACCAATCTCGCCAGTTAGCAGAAATCTGTAACTACACTTCCATCATACCAGATCTGGAGCTTATACTGCAAGGGATTAATTCTTCACAAACGGTGACACAGGAAGCCCAGACTGAACATGAAACAAATGTAACACAGAACTGTACCAAGGAACAAAATAGCGCTGTCGTAGCTCAAAATGCACTCATCGCACCAGCTTGTTCCCTTGGACATCGTGCTCCAGGTAAGGTGTTAAAATTTCAATGTTAGGGCAGTTTTCAATTGAGGTTCGAAAGTTATCCGTGATTGCATTGGTTTTGCCTTAATTCGCTCTCTGATTGGTTAAGAAAACTCGTGCCACTCTCTCAACCAATTAAAAGCAAAACTAACGCCAATCATGACTCGGTCGCCAGCGTTTTCCCGCGCTTTAGGCAGTTTGGCTGTTTTTACTTTGAGTTCTGTCTGGCTCTTACAGATGTGTTTCTTTCTTTTGATTGGCCACTGCGATTAATTTGGTTTGTCATACGACACTCAATCGAAAAGCGCTCCAAATGTGAATTCTACACTCTAACCTGACCCACAAAGAGCGGGTTTCTATCGAGTGCCGTGAAACCAAGATCATACAAATCACAAACAGCTAATCAGATAATAGGATTATGTCACAAGGATAAAGGGATAAGTTTCTAAAGAAACTGTGGTGCTGCGTCGGTGGGAGAGTATAGCAGGTAATTTAGTGTTAACAACTGGGTTGAAAACGTAAATTAGCCACCGTAAAGACTTTTTAGCTTTTTTACCCTTCACGGTGGCTAATTTACGTTTTCAACCCAGTTGTTAACACTAAATTACCTGCTATGTCACAAGGAGCCAAGGAAAATGAAATGTAAAAAGAAGAAAACTGCCGGAAGCGTGGGAAAACGCGTCTTAAGTTTTCTCTCGCGACTACAGGAAACAAAACATGTATAGGATAGAATACCAAAAGCATAGTACTTATGCAAGGCTCTGCAAGTTCTAAAGACACTTGTTTTTTTCTTTAAGTCTATCTGAATAGTCAATGTCAGTTTTCGTCGACAAGTCATTGGCAAACTTTTCCTTACGTGCATTGCAAAAACTATTTTAGTAATACAGTAGCCTCCGTTTGGGTTGAAAATATGCTAGTAGATTCATCTTGTGAAGTTGTTTATTTCTCGAAGCCCACATGCAGCTCTTCTCGAGCTATAATCTCGACAAACTATATTGTGCTAACAGATAATATGAGCTGATAGATATCTGAGCGCATTACCACAACCCCGGCGCGGAATTACGCAGCGTTAAACATAACCTTGCAGCCTTATTGACTACTCTAACTGCATGCTTTTCTTCTGAAGTTCTTCCCAGCTGTGACGCACTTTTGTTATCTGGCTACACACTTAGCGGTATTTACCGTATCGATCCCTTGGATGGAAATGGAGGATTTGGAGTGAACTGCGACAACGACAACGGCGGAGGAGGTTGGTCGGTAATTCTAAGACGATATGATGGTTCCTTAGATTTCGATCGCGGGTGGTCTGCCTACTTGGAAGGCTTAGGAGATCTAACAGGAGAGTTTTGGTTAGGCTTGGAGAAAATGTACAGACTCACTGGTGGCTCGTACTTCAACTTGAGATTCGATCTCGAATCCTCGAAAGGAATCAAGAAGTACGCAGAGTACGAAGGATGTCTACTGGACAAGGAACGAAAGTATAAGATAACTGTTGGAAGTTATTCAGGTGAGAAATGACGCAAGGGATGAAATTTATGGCGGCTGCTAAAACGCGAGAAATACGAGTTATTTAAACTGAGGCTAAGCTTTTAACTTTTTTGACACCATCGTTGTTGTATTCAGCATACATCTAGCAGATTTTTTTCTTTATAGTAGAGAGTTTCTGGCATCAATTTAGTCATGGTTTTCTAACATTTGACTGCAAAGAATCTCGATGGAATTTTTCATTTCTCATTGCCCGACCGAACCTTGTTTTTTTTTTTTCTTTTTTGTTTATAAAAAGTTAAAAAAAGGGAAGACAAGCGTGATTCACTACCTAGAGTATAATTAAACCTGGATGTTTACAGAAAAAACCTTAATGTAGACCTGGGATGTAAGAAGACTCCTGCAGGAGGTCAAAAGTGACATGCAAATAACTAAGGAAAAATTGATCAAAGCAGTCGGCTTAGAAAAATTTTTTACCCAAACAAAATCGATCAATATCAGTATCTGGGCAACTGCCCACCTACCCCTCTTCTAACCCAACATTAACCTTAACTTGTTGTCAATTGACTGTTATTGAGTCAGGGGAGGGGTAGGTGGGCAGTTGCTCAGACACTGATATTGATCCAACCAAATTACCCCATCCCCACCCCCACCTCCTCGGTTGATTTTCTTTTTCATCTTTTTTTCCACCTTTTGAACGACTGACCCAGCCACATCCACGAAAGGGAAAGCGACGGATTCGTAACAATTTATGGGAATGGCCACAATAGATTTGCTTTTTCCTTTTGCAGGCGATGCGGGAGACTCGTTTTCGTATCACAGTGGGATGAAATTCTCCACTAAAAATAAAGACTATGATCAGTCCACCTTGAAGTGCGCTCAAGTTGCAGGTGGCGGATGGTGGTTTAATGATTGTCAACGCGCATGCCTCACAGGAAGTTACGAGAATGGCACGCACAGTTCTCAAGGAATTGTGGGCATTCAATGGCAGGCGTGGACTGGGGCTAACCATTCTTTGTCCAAAGTTGAGATGAAAATAAAACCAGCTTAACTTGTGACTACAGTCGACTTGAAGACCAAAATAAAACGAGCAATTTTCTGACTCAGAGAGGAGTTACGGCTCGCGCGCTTTAGACTTTAGACTCAGTATGGAAAGATGACCATGAGAGCGCTCTTCGCTTCAGCGTCGGAAATTGAAAGCCAAAGTTTTCATAATGGTCAATTAGAAGATTGGCCAATGAGAGCCGATGAGAACTCAAAAACCAACCAAACTGGCTAAAACGCGGGAAAACGTTTAAATTTTGCCTCTGATTGGTTAAGAATATGTCGTGAGTTTCCTGAGATAACTTTGGACACTCAACCAAAATTGCTCCCACTCCATCAAGGAATAAGAGATTGACTATTCAGGAAAGGAGAATTGACTTTAATTTTGGGAAACCTATCGTTGGAAAAGCAGTGTAAGGAACTCGACAAATCAATTTCCTTCCCACCAGCTGTTCAAAGAGAAATATTTGAAGGTATTGATTAGAATGGAGAACTTTGCAGAAAACTCATTAATGAACTCCAAAAAAGATTGAAACCATTTTGACATTCCACGCGCGGTTATCGCGAATTGTAGCACACTTCTACCAAAATAGAATATTGTCTGAGTGACTTACAAACATTGAGCTGTAGAAGTGTTTCTTTTATGAACTCTGAATTATAGTCAATTTTTTCGCACGTCAGCCAGGAGAACTGGATCGAGTACATGCAATTGAGGCTACTCATTCATTGGAAGAGGTGGCGTTTTGTTCATCTTCCACAATCAGTGGCGAACATATAATTTGTATCCGTTACTTTTAACGAACACAACTCGAACTTCCTACTTTTCATTAGTAAACATGTGACGAGCATAACATCAAACCTGATCACTTATCAAATCAAACTTTGTCTCATTGGTAATATTGCTAGAAAATAAATTATTCCACTGGTCATGTTTTCATGGTTGAGCACTAGGCCTCGTTTTGAAAAAGAGGCCAAAGGTAAACAGGCCGGGAGAAGAACAATCAAGAGTTTGCAATTATATATTTCTCATGAGGTGGTGAACCGTTTGTACATGACGCCAGTTTTATGCATGAGATTAAAATGATGGACGATGTTCAGAGGTTGTCACGACAAACACAAAGACCTTTTAAGTTTGTCAGGGCATGTAGGCGCCATGCTGGATTAGAACCTACCTCTGAGTTCTCCAGAATAATGAAATTGGATCTTGAACTTGTTTTCACTTCATTGAATCGTTGAATAGAACACAAATATACAGAATGATGGAAAAGTCTCAGTTAATTAGCACTCTCTCTTGACCAGCGCAAGATAATTATAACTTCGTTTACTTGACAGAAGTTTGAGTTAACTGTCGTTTTTGATTCCCTCTATCGAGTGAAAAAGTATTTAACGAAACATGCAGTTGGAGAGGTTGGAAATGTGGTGAAAATTGTTCTATCCATGCTTATTTTCGGGAAAGGAATTTGAATTTATTTCCCATGAGACGAATTGATAAAAGAAATTAGACTTTGCCTAATAACGTGACAAAAGCTGCCGAACTGGAGGCGCCATTGTCTCAACATTTTATTAAAGTATTTTTGTACAACAGTTTGTTCTTTAATGACCTTGATTCGTAAGCGCAGCTAATTAAAGTTAGTTTGCGTAGAGAAAATGATTTCTTGCAACCTTACCCTTCGCTTGTTGTTGGTGTTATGTGTAGGTTTATGTCATTCCACTCTCCTACCATCGATCTACTGGGATCCTCGCAATCCAATGTAAGTATTTTGTTTGTAAACACCTAGAGTCGGTCGTTAAATATTGTAAGGAACTTGATGTTCTCCGTCGATAAGTTTGTTTAAGCGATTATTGACTGAATTTAATCTTGATTCAATACTGTACTGTCTCATTTATGACTAGAATATTGCTAAAATTGACGAACATGCACAATCGGTCGAGGTAACTGTAATATAAAACACAAACACTTTGATTCATCACATTGCTGTCTAAAGCGACTCAGTGTTATACTGAAGTAACGTGTGTAACAATTGAAAAGTGGCATTAATGGTGGAGAGCGGAATTTTCTTCTCAGTTCCCTGAAAGGATAAGATTATGCAGCTGTTTTATCGTACAAGTATGATAACATTCAAATCAAATAATACCCTATTGATACATGTATGAAAAACGAAAAATATTCGGTATCGAAGACAAACTCTTATCCTACAAGAGAACATACCTGATGTGTTATTTTGCATCCGATAAAAGTTGACCTTTTTTTCCCTTTTTTGCATCGATACTAAGGGGTCACTTTGTGTAAAACGTTTTAGTGTACTTGTTCTTGACACTTGAGTAACGACCCATTTGTGACAAAGATCCTGCTATAATGAAAAGTGTGAAGTAACTGAGAGAAAGGGGCTCAAAAATTACTCCATTTTGGGTATGTGCGACAAAAGTTGCCTTTTTTGGAGCAATTCAGACATGAAAACGTTTGCCAAACATTTGCCGTTGGAGTTTCTTTTCTTGGAATTGAATATTGCGGATAACAGAAACGGGCCGGCAAACTTGAAAAAAACTAATGAAATAAAGTAAAATAGAACAGGTTTAATGGAAGAAGATTGCCTTTAAATAAACAAAAACGCCTGAACTTATGTGGCTGCTATAGAACTTTACTAAATGCTTTATGGCGAAGGAAATTGGTTGGGCACAACCATTTATGACAGTCATGTCAGTGTAAAAGAACTTTTGAGGCTACAAAAGGCTAAGACTGGTTCCATACAGCGTCATGGCTGGCCATTATTACGGATACGAGAAGAGTATAAAATGTTTTGCAATATCTTAAGGTTGGCATGGCAAGGGTTTAAGGCACAAAAGCAGTGGTTTTAATTGTGGTCAGACTGGCGACAAGACACAAAAGAAGTATAGCGCTGAGTTGGTCCGGCTCAAAAACTCGGCTGGAGGTGACAATACAAAGAAACACTGCCTGCTCTATTAATTTGAAATCGCTGCTGCATGATCAATACTTGTTCTGGAATGTTCTTTTTGTTTATCTGTTGTTGTTTGTCTGTTTGTTTTTAGCTTGTTTAAGTCCAGTCAGTAAGTTTTTACTTCAATACCAGTTTTCAGTGATCAAAAAGCACACTCGATAAAAAACAAAAACTACCATAGAAAACGGATCAGCTATGATCATTCTATTTTTTACAGTCATTTTCCTAGACCAACGCTAAGTCAAAAGCGCTTCACACATTGAAATCAAATATTAGTCACTTAGTGCAAAGTTTTTCATTAATCTTTAAGAACTGAAATAAAACTGCATTTGCGAATTTTAGGCGTATCAATACTTCACGAATCTACAGTTTCTGATAGAATGCGAGCAATCTCTCTTTGCTTGCGTAATCCTTTTGAGGTTTTTTGCAAGTAAGTAGTCTGAGATATCTTTACGCTATATTTTCGATCGATGAGCGCAAAGGATTACGCCTAGAAAGATAACTATACGAAGTGCATTTTTCTCTTAATGGAGTGAGCCCACATGCAACCGCTTTTGTACCACGAAATGGAGAGAGATATTTACAGCATTGCGTTAACCATATTTTTTAGCTTTCAGAAAAACTTGACGATGAAAGTTCCTGCCCATTCTAAAATGAAAATCGTCTGCCCAAATCCAGCGAGTGTATTACAAGAAACGGAATCTAGCATACCACTGGAGCAAATGTACTCAAATCTATGGATGGTGACTAAACAAGAGTTTGACATTTGTAAAATAAACGCAAGTGATCAAAGCTTTTCTAACGAGAAGAGATTACTGATGAGCTGTAATAACCCTTTGCAGCTGAAGTATTATGAGATGGTGTTTAGAGCTTACACCGTGCCAGGCAGCATTGCATATGAGCCTGGCAATAGTTACTACTTTATAGGTAAGACAGTCGACCACTTGTCTTCATTGAAAGAGCTGGATAACGAAATATTTAAGAAATGTTATGCATTTTCCCTTTGTAAGGCCCTTTTGTGAGAGATCAGACCAGACTGCCGAGACAGTGCGCAAGTTAGACACTGGATGGAAAGACGTGCGTTGTAGTTCTGTTCGGATCAATGTGTTTCACGTTTGTGCTGGAAAGTTAACTCTTACTGTATCGTCCTTCACTATCTCACAAATCTAAATCAATATGTTGGATTTACGATAGTTTTGTAAATTTTAGTTTGTACTACGGTTGTCGCGCAATATTAAGGAGCTAATGGTTCGCGCTCGTGTCCTGACCGGGTAACTATTTTGTGTTGTGTCCTTCGATAAGACACTCAACACTCGCACGGTGCCTCTCCACGCGGGCTCGAGTGCGTAGAAAGAGACCAGCTGAGACAAATAGAGTTGTTCACAGTTCCTTAACCTTTAAATTCGTGTTATATCCGGGCTGTCTGATGTTTATATTGTTTTTCCAGCTGGAGAATCATCATTTCAAATAAAATCGACTTAAATACGTTTTAGGTACGTCCGACGGTACCAACCACTCACTGGCCAATCACGAAGGGGGACACTGCCTGTCGTCTAACATGAGGATGTCAATCTACGTCTGTAATGGAAGTTTAGGTACTTGAAAAACTGTTCTAATTTATTGTGCCTGCGCAGTAGCCAAGACTGCGTAATTCAGGTTAAAAGATCAAAGATTAATCAACATTAGATTGGTTAGGGCCCCAGAAAAACATGTTGTTGGATGAAGTTAAACATGGTTCTGAAACATTAAACTGCGGAAAGATAAAAAACTATGGATAAGCATGTTCTCGTTCGCCGCGGGCGTGAGGATAGCTCTGTCTCGTGATAAATCAGCTCGGAACTCTCCTTTCGATAAATCTAACATGCTTTTTTTATTTAATCAAATCTATCATTGTCTTTGCCAAAAACTAACCGTAAAATGTCCTCTCGTTGGAAGCCTTCCCATTTCTCGTGCCATATTTATGATGAAAAATATGTTACTATTTCTTAAGTGTTATTCCATTATTTTTATTTTTTCAGATCCAACTTGCCATGCAGATCAACAGAGTTCACTTTCGCCCACGCCCTCACACTCGTCCCAGTCTTCAGTATTCTCTGTCTCGACTCCAACAGCTCGTATTACGACTTCCAGCACTCTAGTTACTAATTCCTGGAGTTACATGTTTCCTTCAGTTTCGGCAGTGAGTTCCGCCAGCACTGCACTTGCACTTCAGTCATCGATTGCTGTCCAATGTCAAGGTACGTTTGCAGATACATTGACTGCTGTTCGATATCTCATACAAGGATGTTGAGACGAGAGTCTCCACAGGGTACCCACCAAACCCAAACATGTGCGAGTCACAGGGATGCAAATTTATCTTATTCTTTTCTTTCTCCCCTTTTGCTTCTGCAGCAACCATTAACGAAATGTTAATTAGGAGTCTTATAAACAAGTCAGAACTATTGTACGACATTTACAACTACACACTCATGATACCGGATTTAAGTCTCATGCTACAGCAGAAACTGAACCTTTCAACAGGGCAGACGACAGAAACCGACGGAAGTTCGTTAAAGGTCATCACGGCTAAACCAGGTAAGCCTACAACATGAGCCTTGGATTTTTCTGTCGACCAATCGCTAGCAGCTCAGGTCGGCTCATATAAAGCAAATGATCGAAATTAATACCGCGCAGACCTGGGTACGAGGTGAGCTTGTGTCAGCCCAGGTTATACGCAGAAGTCACCAGCCCCTGAGTACTGATTTTTCGTTTTTTTAAAGTGTTAGTTGTAACGTGTGTTTTTTCAATTGTCCCTTAAGCTCAGCGACATTGTAAAAATTGGCTGAAAAAGAACTACACAGAAAGCGGAAGCTACCGTCTGTTGATAAATTGGAAGACTTGGCAAACAAATGATCGTTTTCGAGTTTACTGTGACCAAGAAACTGCTGGCGGTGGTTGGACCCTTTGGATGCGGCGCTTTGACGGATACATCGGTTTCAACAGAGACTGGGATTCTTATGAGGAAGGATTTGGAGACACCTCCGGCGAGTTTTGGCTGGGTTTAAGATCCATGGAGAAAATTCATGCTGACAGTAAGTTCTCCATAAGGTTAGACATGGAAACCTCTGACGGCAGCAAGGACTACGCTGAATACACGAATTGTGAATTGGGAGACTGGCAAACTATGTACACGCTAACAGTGGGATCGTTTGTGGGTAAGTGGAGGTCTCATTTAACGGGAAAAAAATATCCTTACGGACCAGTCAATATTTACCGACTGGACGGGGGGAGGTTCGAAAGATTTAGGGGGGATCCCAGGGTTTCCAGACAGAGCGGAGGGGTAATTAGACGTCACCAAAGGAGTATAAAAGAGGGGAACTATAGGAAATTGATTGCCAATTGATAGGGGATGAGGGAAGGGGGGGGGGGGGGGG